AAGTATTTTAACGCAGCAACTCTACATAACGGCGTTTGTTACGATACGTACATAGAAGAAGTAACATGTTAGCTAACTCGTGTTAGCTTGTGTTTGGTGTTTGAAACTCTCATGTAAGCTTCTTGGAGCTTTTGGGCTCACCTAACCTCACAACCCGGTCACTGCTGATTTGTCCTCCGATTCTGTGTTCGTAGTCATTTCGTTTTATTCAATTATATATTGTATATAGATGAGCATGTTTTGACCCTCCAGAATCAAAACATGCTCATTTTTACACAGAAACAGAAACAGAAAGGTGAAAGGTGTTGATGTTCTGCTACAGCATGCTCAATGTGTTACTGATGCTGCAAAGACAACAACATGATCAACTTGTGTAAGGACTTTTTATTGCCAATGTAGTCACCCTGAAAGAAAATCTGTGGACTCAAGCAGGCAAAATGTTTGATATCTCAGAGCAGCTGCAATACGAACAGTTTCTGATTTAACCCAGATTTACAAGAAGGGTTCAGTAGACACATTTACAGAAACACTTACCTGAAGCTGCTTCTTTTTTTTTAATTTTTACAAGGAGTAATTAAATAACAAATACAGGTTTGTACACACCCAAGAGAACTATTCACCTACAGCTAAAAATAAACTGAGCACACAGTATGCACTACAACTACACTACGACTCTCCTTTGAGTAAGGACAGAAGACTTTTAAACTTTAGCCTGAGCTGCATATATATATATATATATCAAACTGTATTTTGCACACTTGACTTCTTTTTTTTATAATAATTCTTTATTTATCTATCATACTATGCACTGGCAGAGCTACTATTTTGTACTGTTATCTATGAGTAACAGCTATTTATGCACATGGACCATCCATACCACGTTTTTTTATCCTGGCTATGTATTGAGGGCTCATGTTTTTTTGTATGGGTGGGATATGTTGTATATATGTGTTGTGTTGTGTGTTTGTATGTATATATGTGTTGTGTTGTGTGTTTGTATGTATGCTGGCTGCTGGAACACCTAATTTTCCTGCTGGGATGAATAAAGTATATCTTATCTTAATCCTTGATTGAGCTATAGTTACAGTGACTGACTAGAAAATAAGACAGGTAAAAAGAGAAAACTACTTATTTCACGAGTGCTGATCGTTTTAGTCTTCTCATGGCATGGATACACATTGAAAATATTTATCATATTACATCACTGCTGTTACCCCTTTAATGACTTTTCAGAATAAGTCCATTCTGCAGACTTTAACGTTTTTTTAACCTCAGGTTTCTCTTGTACAAGACAACTTGTAATGTGATGATGCAATCGTTTACTTACATGCCTCTGCTTGTCAAACTCAGGTAACACGCATTCAATAATTGATCTCCAGGATGGGGAGATCTATGTCATGTCAGGGTCCAACAAGTTCTGTTACAAAAACTCAGTAGTTCCCTCCTGGAGGCAAACATGGACGAGAATTCAGGTAAGTGACTGGAAGTGTTTTTTAATGCACTTCAACTTGTTTTTTTTTATGTTGAAGTGCATTGATTTGATATGTGTTGTTAAACGTGCACATTTTGTGATCTGTGAAACACAGATCACAGATTTTCAACAGCTGCTTTTAACAAAGATTATATCTTATAATTCCTGATGTCAAAACTCTGTTAATATGTTCAATAGTAACTGTTTATTTCTGACAGGTCAACATTTGGAGCTCCAATGTGTTCAAGGTGGATACTGTGCAAGGTGAGGAGAAGCTGCAGGAGCTGGACCAATTCAGTATCTGGGGCTTCATTCAGAGCTTTTTACGGGAGCGGCACAATGAAACCACTATCAGCGTCAGCCTGTTCAGCAAGAAGACGTGCTTCAAGATTCAACCAGCTGACGGGACTCAGTACACTGTCAAGCCCCTCCGCAGTGAGTGTAAAACACACCAAGTCGAATGTTTTATTTTAGTTCATTAACAAGATTTTTGGCCAACACAAGGTTTCTACTCTCCTTGCAGAATTTGATATCTATCTGTTTCTGGTATTCCTTGCTGGAATATTGTTGTTTCTCTTTGCAGAATCACTCAGCAGGTAACTTTTCTAACTTATATTCCTTTGTTTGTATTTAACAGAACTATGATATGTTATTCACCATTTCTTCTCCCTTACATAAAGGAGTCAAGTTTTCTTCTACTCTGCCGGTATGAGCACGGGCATGATCGCTTCTCTCATCATCCTCTTTTTCATTTTGGCACGCTTTTTGCCAAAGGTAGGGTTTTTAATTTTCCTCCAATATTCATGATTTTATGAATTATAGAGTAATTATTCCTATTTGTTGTTTACTTTGTCTTTATTGTCCACGCAGAAAAGCCCCTTCTATGTGTTGATCGTTGGCGGCTGGTCGTTTTCTTTGTATGCCATCCAGCTTGTCTTCAAGAACCTCAGATTTATTGTGCAAGAACACTGGCACATGGCATTAGGTACAAACTCTTCATGTACATAAACCTTATATAGCTAGTGTCTTTTCTGAAACATCAAACCAATGCCTGAAACATTAACCAATTTTAATATAAAAGATTAACTGAATAGTACTTAACTGTAAATGTAATTTAAGCATCTCATACATGTTTCACCTTAAGACATGTATCATAAATAACCTTTGAATTGAACTCTCATCTGTCTTTTTAAACTTCCACATCATTTCTGTGAAATAAAACATGTGTCTTGTTGTATTTGTCAGGTTATGTAGCAGTGGTGGGATTCGTCAGTTTCGCTGTGTGTTACCTTTATGGCCCTCTTGTGGATGAGAAGCGCATTAACATCTTATCGTGGATGCTGCAGATCTTTGGTCTGCTGCTGATTTATTTCGGGATTCAAATTCAGCAAGTTGCCTTCGCCATCATCGTAGCAGCTCTGATCTCCAAATATCTGGAGTACCCCATCACTCTGGCGTTTGTTGCATGGAGGTGGGTGTTTGCAATGTGGACAGGAGGTGGCGCAATAGGACAATATTCATTAACTATGTTATTTCATGAATTACAGTGCTCTGTGGTTGAAAAACACTAGTGGCACAAATGTTTTAACACTAATTTTTTTAAATGTTTTTTTTATGGTGATTTAATACAACTGACAATTTTAGATAAATTGGTCTTTGGAAAGCCACGCTTGTTGATTAAGAGTTATCAAAGTTGAGTTTGCTGAAAGAGCTGAAATTCAAAGCAGTAATACAAACATGCTGTTATTTTGCATTTTACCTCCATAAACAGATTTATTTCTGCTACTATTTTCTTGAGCACTTGCTGTTTTTTAATGCAGGAAAATGAAACGTTACATTTATTGGAAGCCAGAACCACCTCGGCTGTTGACTGAAGAGGAGTATCAGAGGCAGGGGGAGGAGGAGACTCGGCGTGCACTGGATGAGCTGAGGAAGTACTGCAACAGTCCCGAGTTCAGCCCCTGGAAGACCGTGTCCAGAATCCAGTCCCCTAAAAGGTGACTATTGTGAAGTTCTTTTACATAATTCATTAAGATAAATGATTACCATTAGGGTCAGCCCCATACCTCGCTTTGCTAAAATAAAAACACCTCATGAACCTGCTTAGCTTCTATCACAGGTTGATCTGTTGTGTCTGGGTACTAATACCAGTGAACAGTTTAAATATCACACATGCTATGGTGACTTTGATCCACAGATTTGCTGATTTTGTTGAAGGGTCTCCTCACTTGATGTCAAATGAGGTGTCCGTCCACGCGCAGGAATATGGCTTTGGAGGATCCTTTTTTGAAGATGAATTTTTCGACACGGACGACGAGGACGAGGACGGGGATCTGAAACCTATAATGAAACCAGAGTGACACCGCACATGTATGGGAAAAAAACCTAAACAAGAACGGTGAATACTGCCTTTCACTGAGGAGGGACCCGAGAGAAGCCCACAGTGGCTCATGTGCAAATGTCCTGACTGACTTCTGAATGTTTTTTGTTTTTTCCTCCTGTGAAGGGGCGGCAATGAGAAAAGTCAGGATTTTCATGTCGGCCACAACAGCCACCGCATGTTCTGCCTTAAAATGACAAAACACTGATGATCACAACAGAACGGTGTGGTCGGATCTGTTATCAGCAAAGAAATGTAGTTACAAAAAAAATGTGCACTAAAGCCAGGTGTCTTCTTTTTTTTTTTTTTTAAGAGAACACAGGCTTCTGTTATACAGTTACAAATACAGTGAAACAAGGAGGAGGTCAAAGCAATATAGAACTTTCACTGTGTGATGGTGAAGTTTGTGTAGTCTTTAGCTGAAGCTTTGGAAAAGGTTTATGCTGTTTCTAGTTTTCTAAACATTGTGTTCACATCCTTAAGGCTCTGAATTGGCCTCACAACAATGAGAGCATCCACTTGTCCCTCCAGTACATCATGAGGCGGTTCTCCCCTCTCTGAACAGCAGCACGACGTGGTGGGAGGTAAACGCTTCGTATTCTGCTCGGGGAGGAGATTGGGAACGTTTGTTTTTCACTTGTTTTCATTTTACTGGACATAGATCATTGGAAGGGTCCCAAAGTATTTTGAATAAAAATATATATATTTGAGTCATGCATTAGCATTACTTTTTAAACACTATGATCATGTTTCTGGTTAATTAAGTCATTTGTTTGAAGCCAAATAGTTGATTTTGAATATCCTGGCTCAAATGTATACTAAAAGAAATCTGATGTGGAGGGGGACAAATAACCGCTAGTGCATTATCTTATTTACTTAACCAGAATAAAATCTTTGAGGCACATGCCACTTCAATTTAATTCTCTCTTTTAAATCCTTCTTTGCAAAGGTTTAGGGGTATGTTTCCCTTTATATCATACTGCATTTATCTGAATGATAACGCTACTATCTGCTCCTAAAGCTGGCCACACACTAGAAGATTGTATCCCTGATTTTTGGCCCGATTTTCCCCTCCCGACGATCGGGGGGGGCGTGTCCTGCTTCGAGGCTTGTCGCACACGATTTTTTGTCAGAATGAGATAAAACATGTAGAGATGAGGCTACCCAACAGTTTATTTAGAAGTTGAAAAACAGACCATAAAGCATTAGCCTGTTTGAAGAAAAATGGCCATTAGGAAGAAGATAAAAATGATCTGTGGAATTTCCACCACAGATGGCTGAACTAAACTACACATACAAGTGGCTGCACTTCACTGTGACGGCCAACCGCTCAAACGTTGAATCTGCATATCGAGGAATGAATCATTCAATGTGAGCATTACGAGTAAAATCTTTCGTCAGTGATCTTGAAATACAAATGACAACTGTCATATGCGTTTCTTGGCGCTACATAACTGAGTCATAGCGTCAGTTTTAAAACACCTTTCTGCAAGTTTTACGGAGTTCATGTTTTATTAAAAGTGGAAGCAGAACTTGGGGCTTGCTGTTTGAAGTGAGATAGTGCTCTTCTGTATCTGTTACTCTACAGTATATGTTGGAGAAAAAGGATGTCGTCTTTCGGTTCTCCCCCACTGAGCCATATCTGATAACATTTAGCCAGCTGTCCTCGACATCCCAATGCAGTCTTCTTTATATTACTGTGATTTACATGCAGCCCTTGAGGCCAGGGAACAACCCTGATAACTGGTTTTCAAATGTTTACGCTTGATCACACGGATGCGTGTAAAACAGCTGATCAACCAAACACTTTGCATGTTTCACATTCCCAGAGAAATGCTACAAAACAGGAAAACCTCGCTGCAATTGCAGGAAGAAGTGTGGGGGAATCCCTTGGATTTACGAGCACATTTCAAACACTGACAGCTCCTATAAACGGGCTTCATGCAAAGGGCCTGGAGTTCCCCACAACTGACAACCTGGCCCTCATTGCAACAAATGAATCTCACAAACCTCGCTGCAAGAATTTTGCAGGTTGTGCAATAAAGATAAGACAACCACTTACACATGTAGGTCCTTCTGCTCATTTTATAAGCAGGAAAAGAAATCCAGCTTCATAGCAATCAGTAAATAACATGAAAGAATCGTGTGTATCATAGCAAAACAAAGACTGCATTGTGCACTGTTGGCGTGTAAATGCATGCTGTATGGAAATCTTTAGTATTTTAGTAAAATAAGAGAAAAACACGTTCAAAAAAACCTGTACAAGTAACGGAAAAACTAACGTGCTGCCACAATGAATTTATCCACATAAGGCAACAAAAGGACAGTTTTGCAGACCTGCAGCCAGTGCAGTTTGTCACAGAAGAACTTCGACAGAGGCTGATGATTTTTTAAAAGAAAATAAGACACAAACATGCATCTGAAAGCTGGGGAAAATATAAATCAGTAACTTCAGTGCTGACAAAAATGACTCATGAAACAGCAGCAGTGCATTTACTTTTCCTGACTGCAACAAGCAGCACAGACTGCATCTTTCCCATGTTACTCCACACAGTCCGTACAGAAAAGGAAAAAAAAAACAATCTGGTCCCCTTCTCCTCAACCTCTAAACATAAAAAGTCCATCAGAAACAGAAAACTACAAGTCCAGTGTCTTGTGGTTAAAATCCAGTGGTTCGACACTTCTGTCAGTACTTGTTGATCCCGAATATCCGTACGCCGTGAAATTGAGGCAACTTTGGAAGGACGACACTTAGGAGGGAGCTTGTGTTGATCAGGAAATGTGTGGGGTCGTACTTTGTGTAGAAACTGGCAAGAATATACCTGAAAGAAAGACGAATAGTGTCAATGTAGCATCAACATGTCAGAAGAAACCTTATTTTGAAAAGTCTAAACCTCAATCAATGGGGGCTTCTTATAAATAAAAAAATCGACTTTTGTAAAACGGAGCCTAAAAAAAAATTGTGTTTCGTAAATGACCGATTGATGAAGAACTCTAGAAATTTATTTGCAAAAATTGTTAAAATAAAAAGCATATGAGCGGAATTACAATGGAAAGATTGAGAGGTGAATTGTCCTGATCCTCACTGTGGTTCTGCAGTAAAAATCCCATTAATTTTCAGGGTTTGATGGGGGTCGCTGTTACCATGGCAATGTTTCCTGCCCCTCCGCGCCGAATTTGAACGGGTAGTTTCACTAGCAGGCAAGCTAGTTAGTTAGCTGACATGAAATGTACAAATAACTTTGTTACATGTATATATTCAACAACACAATTACAAGATATTACAACACTTGCATTATCAGTATAACACTAAAACCATGATACAACTTTTTAAAAGAAGTGATATCGTTCGCAATGGATTGTGGGATGGGTAGTTCCTTGACTCTGGAAGAAAATTCTGTACAGTCTTGTACCTTTGGCCTTATTCTTTTTTTTTTAAAGCCGTTTTGGTGCTGAATCAGATCTGAAAAAGTGGGCGGTCCCTGTTGAGCTCTTTTTCCAGATGGTCTAATAAGATGAATTTTAACTGACATGTTGATTTAGCCATCATGATGCAGGAATAAAAAAAAAAAAATCCAGACTGTCCAGTACTGTAGATGACTTGTCAATATAAGCAGCAGACATACTTACAAAACAATTGGTGAGATGGTGAGGAATTTGCGAGAAGATGTGAACTGGACACCGTAGTCCATCTGTTCCCAGTGTGTAAGCAGACGAGCTTTGCCTTGGTCCGGTGTCTCAAAGGGGGTGCCCTTCACGGTGTGCAGAAACAGGTACATCACCTGCACAGGACAAAGAGAGACAATTATATTCAGCCACAAAAAGATCAATTGAAATCTGATACCTAACAGTTAGTTTGATATTTAACAGACCGATGTGAAAGTGTATCGGGTATCAACATATTTCCCCAAAACCACCCAGAGATATTATAGAGGACGGCTCTAACTGACCAGGTTGTGGATGACGTTGGTGAGGGTCCAGACAAGCGGCACGGTGAAGAAGGGGATGCTCAGCAGCACTATGTGCAACACCACAGTCAGCAGCAGATAGGTGAGCCAGATTCCTCTACTGTTCATCACCCTCGTGTTGGGGTTCACCTCGCTGTGAGCTACGCCCACGTTCATCTTTGAGATCAGGAAATGCAAAATGGAAATGTTCAGAAGGACGTTCAAACAGGGGGATGTTATTTGACCCAACCACAGACTGGTTATCCTGCCTCTCCAACAACATTACAGCAAGCAGGCTGACAGAGAACGTTTGAGAACAGTGGATATGTTTTAAAGGTGCTATATAAATAAAAGTATAATAATGCATAAGGAATTTAAAAATAGTGATGCTGAGGCTGATCTGTATAAATTAAATTAAGATTAAGATTTACTTTTATTGATCCCCTTGCAGGGAAATCCAGTTTTTACACTCTGTAAGTCATGCAACACACACATGAATGCTGAAATACACACACATGCACAAACAAGATCCTGTGGACATGCACTAATGGAGAGATGTCAGAGTGACGGGGCGGCCCACAGCGGGCGCTCCTGAGCTGATGGTGGGGAGGGGGTTTGGTGCCTTGCTCAAGGGCATCTCGGCAGCGCTCAGGAAGTGATCTGGCACCTCTCGAACAACCAGAACAACTTCCATATTTGATCCGCACCGGGATTTGAACCGGCGTACCCTCCGGTTCCCAACCCAAGTCCCTACAGACTGTATTAAAGTAAAATAGTAAAATCCCAATGTGCTATATACAGAACACTGCTAATGGAAATAAGTTTCAGACGACCACCAAACAACACAGGTTTGGTAGAGATTCAAATGATTGTTTTTTCATGTTATACCGGTACTTTGATTCAACCATCATGTTTTGTTCCTTTGTTAGTGCTGGGGGCCGAGACCAGCCTGCTCTGAATTGGTACATTTGTGTGCTAGGGCTGTCAAAAATAGTTATTTAATTTGAACAGAAAACTATGCTGCAGAAAAGTATAGAGAGTATAGACCAGGGGTGGCCAACTGGCGGCCCGGGGGCCACATGCGGCCCCCATCAACCCTCAATGTGGCAGAAATATCTCCATAATAATATTTGCTCACTGGTATATGTTGAGTTAAATTTAAGACATAATTGACTGTAATCTTTTTTTGAATTCTACAATTTGGCCCCTCTGGCAGTGAGAATTAAATGAATGTGGCCCCTTGTTGTGACCAAAGTTGCCCCCATCCCTGGTTTAGATTCTTTAGTGAAGTTATTTGTGGTGCAAAAAAAAAAAGATTAAAAAAAAAAAAAAAAAAAGTTAATCTTTCAAAAACATGTACTTTGAAGACTGTTAATTGTTTCAGACATCTATTCAGCAAAAAAAAATATATTTTTTACATTTTTATTATTTTGAAGGGGCTTTTTTTTTTCGTTTCGCGAAAGAAAATTTTAAAAACCATTTCGCGAAGAGCATTACACTCTTACACCTATTCAAACCTTCAATAATAGATGACTCTATGGTAGCACATTTAAAGGGTTGCACCTTTTCTTGAGCTTTCAATTTGATTTGTATCGTGTAAACGAGGTGGCATCATCATCATGAAGACCCCGCCCAGCTGAGCTGCTCTGAGTGACTAAACACGCGCTTCCTCTCACAGGACTCCCCCCCCCCCCTCTCAGCTAAAGTTACAGCTAGCTGCAACATTCAGACACTACGCTGCCAAACACAGCGTTAAAGAATAAACAAGGTTCAAATGTGAAAAGTTATTTTACATCACAACACCTCCAGCTTCAAAAATAAAGTTCAACAACGTGTGAAATCCAGTGAACAGCTGAGTGTCTATCCACAGGTTAACATGCTAACGTTAGCTCAAAGTTACTTTAATCCTGATGTAACTCTCGCACATTAAGTTCGCCCAGGTGGGGTTTGTAACACCTGTTAAAGTAAACATCAACAGGCCTCGTCCAGCATGTTGGAGCGCTTTAAAGCTGACATTTTTTAACGGAGCAGTCTTTACCTTCCTGCGTTGTCGTAGCTCACCAGGAAATTCCTTGTTTTTTCTTTAACCCCGCCTTCCTTTTAGATTCGGGCTGGTTCTTCTTGCTGTCAAAACTCCAGCCGGCGTCATGTTAGGTGTACAGGTGAGAGGCAGGTGTGAGAGGGAGCGGGAGCGCGAGATCTGGTAGAGATCAGCTGTCTTCCAAAAATAAATAAATCTTTGTCAAAAGTACATTTTGTTCATTGCAAAAGTTAAGAGTTCATAAATTCTACTAAATGTCAACAATGTAACCGGATACACAGGGATTTACCTGTAATTCTCAGGTGTTACTCTCCACCCCCCTTAAAGTTATTTATAATTTGGATGGTGGCCTTTATCTAAGAATAAACAGTTAAACATGAAACAACCACCAGAGAAAAATGTTAACTTATTTCTTCTAAAAAAAAATTAAAAAAGAAGTGTTAGGCTATAAATCTCATTTTAAAACTTTTATACTTCAGGTAAGGTACAGTTAATTTGCTAACTGCTTGATTTATTTTTTTTAAAGTCGCCTACCATACTGTACATTAAAAGAAATAAGACTGCATCAGTATTCTAAAAAAACAACAAAGTAAAAGTATAAGAAGTAACCTATATTAACTCATGCTTGAGTAATGTTTGCTGAGCAGTTTCTAGCTGTTTCAAAAAAAAAAAAAAAAGAGCCTTTAAGTAAAATGTAGGCAATGTGTTATCAGTCAATCAATCAATTTTTATTTGTATAGCGTCAACTCATAGCAAGTGTTATCTCGAGACACTTTACAAAAAGCAGGTAAAATACCTTACTCTTTGTCTTTTAACTTCACAAAAGAGCAGGGAAAAAGTTAGCGATGTGTCGTTAAACATTTATATCTTCTGCTGGAGAAGTAGGAAACATTTCAGAGACAAACCACCTAAATGTGGATTTTCTTTTCGAGACTTATATTATTTATTACTTCAATAAGAGAAATATAAAGTGAGGCAATCCTTATCCTTCAAGTGCTGTTTGTGCTCCGGTTTTACTTGAGAACTCCTGTTTAATGCACCACAAAAATATAACATTCGATCAGTTTAATCATGAATTATTGGCTAAAGTTACTTTCACGTGCTAGAGGGACATTCTGTCTATATACCGCTTTTATAGGAGCTTTAGTCAAGTCACTTCTTTTTATAAAGCACATTTAAAAACAATCAAACCAAAGTGCTTTACAGCAGACACTGTATAACATACAATAATAAAATAACAATGTACAAACTATATGGATGAGAGTTTAAAATGAGGGATAAAAGGTTTAGATTAGGAGAAATGTAAGTAAATCTTGAAGTTTGACTTAAAATTTTCAGTGTTTGAGCATGACTAAATGTGGGACAGGAATGTATTTCAGAGCCAGGGGGGCAGCAACAGAAAAGCCTTGTCACCTTTGGATTTAAGGTGTAATAATGGGACTGAGAGGAGATGTTGTGAGGATGACTTCAGGACTTGGGGGCTGTAAAAGGAATAAGCAGATCTGTTATATATTTTGGGGCTAGTCCATCGAGAGGTTTGTGAACAAATAGTTTAAAGCTTTAGTTCATATTGTGTTCACGTGATGCATTTCACCAGGATGCAAGCTTTGAGGTGGCAAAAAAAAGAGTCACATTCATCTCAGGGCAATAGACGAGCGGTGGGGTTTTAATCTCGTCACGCGTCCACTCCACCACCTTTCAAAGACAAGTATTGTACTTTTCACTCAGTTTGACTTATTTTATAGCGAAAGGTACTCGTAACTTAGTGGATTGAGATGGGATACCGAACATGTGATCAGTTTATGTGAAAAAAAGATACAGTAAGAGGACTGCAGCCAGGATGAAAAGAAAAACAAACAGGTAGTTACCGGCATGCTGAACAGTGTGCAGAGAAATTAAATAAGGAAGTGATGTAATTCAAAAATGACACACTTATTTTTATATGTCTGTGACATCCTGTGGAAGTAAAGCTTGTTTTGACAGTCATTTACTGGAACTCATTTTTCATGTGCACATCTTATAATTCTATGTATGCGTCTATGAGTGGTGGGTGGAGATCGTTTTGTCTGTTGCTATTTATGTTGAAAACTTTCAGGACAATTCAAAAAGATACAATTTTTTTTTTTACCAAGCAGCCTGTAAAGTAGAGGGAAGAATATCCACCTCAAGAACCTCCAACATTTAAAGGCTGCAAATGTTAAAATACACCTGCAGTATATTTCCATAACCTAAAGTACATTATATGATAATATGACATTTCAAAAACATGCACTGTGCAGCATGAATACTTTTAACAGTCTTCAGGACATCTTGCAGATAATACTTGAGCATTCACCTACTTTAATATGAGTCTATTTGAATTATATTTCAACACATCATAACCTCACAGCCCATAGAATAGTTTTTAATAGGGGATACATATCAGGATAATGCATGAGTAAAAAAGCCGAGTTGTGTGTGAAATAACTAGACTAGATGTTGTTGCTGGTAAAGATAGCATCTATCATAGTTGTAGTATGTTTAATTTACTTTACAATATAACTTTTGTCTTTATAACTTGACTTGATATGAGCTAATAATATCATTTTAATAAAGGCTTTTTGTGACTTAAAGGTCACATATTATGCAACATGCAACACTTTACCATTTTTTTTTATCGAACACCGTCCCGAGTCTGTCTACAGATTTATTTTGACCTCCCTTCAACGGTCACAGCTCAAAATTTCAGCTGTCACCTTCATGCAGGGAAATCTAATCTCATGCATGAAAACACAAATGACGAATGCACAGGAATGAAAACAAAAGTGCAAAGGTGGTTACCGAGCACCCTGCAGATTGTTTCCTGATACAACGAGAAGCTTGTGAAGAAATTAAACAGGGAAGTGGGGTATTGCACATTACAAGTGACATGTTGATTAGAGGTGCTGGATGTCCTGAGGAAGACTGCCGTGCTGACTTAGTCATTTTTGGTAAACGTTTCTATTTGGACATATTTATGATCCTTGAGTCGATTATTTCGGCAGCTGTTGGTTCTTTTGTCGGATGTCTTCGTTGACCTCTTACTCTCTTGTCTGGCACCATAATCAAGTCAAACTTTCCCGTCTACAGGCTCAGCAAACACTGTAAATGATGTCATAAATCTCAAAGTTGAGTTACCGTAACAGGTTGAGCTTCATTCTTGCACAACTCACACAAACAATCTATTTGAACGCGTCAGGGCCATTAAAAAAATAAAAATAATAATTCACTCTTTGTCACTTTCTGTGCTCCCAGATAGATAACCCCTGCTCATATAGTTTTCCAAAGATTAGTATTCTGACATTTTACAGGGGTTTAATAATTATACGCTCAACATGGTGTCAATTCACCAAAAGCACAATTTCTTCTTCTTCTTTTTAAATTGGCTGTTTACCTGACTCGAAGGGATCAAATACAGCCCGGCTGAGGCTGGACTTCTGCTTCCACAAGACCACAGGGAAGATGGAAGTGTTCCTGGAGCTGCAGGGGAAATGAGGGAATAATGTGCTGAGTGTCTGATCAGGGAGAGCTGAGGTTCAGTAACTGTCTTGGCTGAGTGTTAATGTGAATGAGTTTTTATAGAGTTTATAAGTCTGCCTGTTTAAACTCATTATGTAATTACCCCAAAAAATCTTCTTCTTTATCTCATTTTATGTCCTCAGCATCTTATAAAGTAATAAACATAATTTGTGATTGTTTTTTTTTAATTCTGTCCGGCATTATTGCAGTTGATGGAAATAAGCATCTTTATGCATCAATGCCTGACACATGGAGCTACAGTATGTCACACCAATATGTTGTCCAGAAAATGTACAGATATTCTGAAAATGTTCTTTTGATTACTGAATGTTTGATACATACGGTTTTGGTCCGGACAGTTCTGCTAACTCTTCTCATTTGTCTTCTCCTCTACTCCTTTTCCACCTGCCTTCTTCTTTTGACCCAGACTCACTGCAGCAGGTTGTACTCCTAGTTTTTTTTCTTCTTTGCTTAGCTTGTTTCTGTCCCTTTCTGTGCCCTTCATATTATGTCATCATAACGTCATCTTACCTTTCATGTCATGCACTTTGTGAAGTGTTCAGATACAGGTGTTTAAAACAGACAGGCTGACTTTGAAAACGTTTTACCATCAGACAGGATTCCTGTGTGCAGGGCATGAAGAAGGTTCATTGAGCTCTGGATATGAAGTCACAGTGACAACAAGCATCCTCGTTGAGCAATCCTGTACATTGACACTGAGCTACTTCCTCTTCATTTAAACATCTTCCTTTTTCAATGCTTTAAAGTGCCACTAACAATGCATCATCAGAGTGTGAGGTAACAGCTGCTTTAAAGGACAGGCCGCCTCTCTGGGAGGAAGTAAGCAGGAAGTTGTGGATCTCCACCGAGCTGGAGGATTCTTTTAGGAATTTACAACTTCCTCCTCACCTCAGTGTGCTTGACTGGCTGTTTTGTTTTGCTTACTTTTTTTTACTGAGGACATATTTATCATGATTGTTTTCAGTGGAGGGAAACACAACTAACAAAGAAAACATAATCTGTGAGACACAAGATAACTTAGATTGGAGTCAGGTTGTTTATTTTGCACATTGTGTACATACATACAAATAAATACAAAAACACAACTGATTAGAATAAATATAAATAAATAAATACAATAAATATGATTTAAATAAATATGTAATAAAGATATAATTCCATTGGAAATACCTTCCATGCACACATGGGAGAAACAAGAGTGAAACTTTTGTAGAAAGAAACACTTCTGCAGATAAATCATCAGCTCCTGAAAGCTGTACGAGAGACTTTGATCAATATGATCAAACAAAGCGTTCTTTTACAATTCATGGCAGCAACATTTCATGCTCTACATGCACATCTGAGCCGAGCTGTCTGAGTGATGAGCCGGATCACCCCGAGCAAAGACTCGAGCGCTGATGATGGAGAAGGTGAAGAGCCTGTCCAGGGTGTAGTGACAGAACGGAGCCTCATGCCAGTAGCGAGGGGGCTGCGTGTCTTCTGTGCTGATGTGGGTCTCCTGCGGAATCAGAACGAAAAAAAAACAAGAAAAATGAAGCTGCTGTTAAACTTTGATCTCAGCTATGAGGCTTCTGAAGTTTTTTGGGGATATTTTTATTGAGCTTACCTCCTGCTGATTCATCCCTGTCTTTGCGCTCACACATCTGCTCATGTCTCTCAGCAGGTTGTGGAGAGCCGGCTTCACTTTGTTGGCAAACTGTGAGCAGGACTGAAATTTAGAAATCATCTCCACGTAGGTGTTGTAGTTCCTTAGGACATCAAGGATCTTCCCAACACATGTCTGAGGGGGTAGAGAGAAAAGAATCACGATCAGAAAAGTCACCACTTCTTACTATCACTGATGTGATAATAAAATCAATATTATATTTAGTGTTCATTTTACTGACCGATGACTTCTGCTTGAGCGCCTCAGGATCACACATGTCTTTAGCTTCCAACCAAGCCAGGGTGGTGGTGAAATTAGACTCAGATCTGTCACCGTTTCGTGCCTAAAGACCATTTGAGAAACACAAGCTCAGTGCACTGTTTGCATTACATAAATGATGGAGTGTGATATCAAAAATAATTAAACATTATGATAAATCCACAAAGTTAAAGTTAGCAGCACATACATTTTTATTTGTTTATAGTATTATATTGTGGATTTCAACAGCCAAGCAAACTGATTGGACACGAGGCACTCCACAAGTGACACTATGAGTTCTGAATACTTTTAATTGATATTTACAGCTGCCAGTGTTCTTCTTTATTCATCAATCTCATACCTCATAATCCCACAACATGCTCTCATTTCACTGGTTTCATAATTAAATTATATTTTTTAAACATACAAGTAAAGGTGCATACTAAAGTAGCTGCTCTGTGGTAACCATGGACACCAACAGAGTAGCAAAAGAGCAGTAGAATAGAGTGTTTGGGTTGCTTGGCAAAAGTGTAGTTTCAGTTAAATTGTGGAATATTTTGAGTTGGTGGAGTTAAAAAATAATTTGTTGTATTCTACTTTGTAGCACTACTTTCTCAATGTATAACTGTTGTATTTAAGCAATATCACACTCAAGTGACAGATGTTTCACAGAATATCAGCACTGCTGGGATTATCTTGTGCTATTCTGTAGACCTACAAAAACCTGGGATATTGCTTTATTTTATTAGACCTACATACTTCAACATATTAGAACTAGCAAAATACATATTTGTGAAAGTTGTATCTTAATTATACGAAAACCAACATTTAGATGAGCAGAAATGCTCAAAACAAATGAATAAACTTACCTCTATGGATGCAATCCTGGCTTGGCGGTTTAGCTCCAGAGAGCTGCTCCGTAGATCCGCGCATGCGTCCTGGAGACCGTGTCCGGCTGGAGCGCAGGAGGCTGCCGCGAGGAGCCAAAGAAGAGCTGCAGCAAAAGTCGCAAAACAAAAAGCCATCGTTAAGAAATTTTACTTTAAGTGCACTATGTTTTTTTTTCTTCTGATGTGCTTGTCCCTCCTGTGAGTGTTGTGATGTGCTGTGAGTCCTTCTTTTTATAACGTGTAAATAAGCGCAGGAGTGGGCTGTGAGTCAGGGAGGGTTTTCCTGGGTATCCCTCAGGTGAGTTCATGGTGAGTGCACATTACATCGGCATGAAGACACAGAACGGTTTGTGTGAGCAAATGAGTCATGAATGGACACATTATATGACTTTATTGTTATTAAATACAAAAAGGGAAGAAAAGGATCAGCCTCGCGTTTTGTAGGCTAATTAGGCAACAATTCACAAGGAATTATCCCACTTAAATTGGGATAGCTTATTGTATTTATTTTTTAATTTTATCTTTTATATTTTTACTCATCTCTAGACGTCATTTAACTGTTAAATTTGGGTTGCTTTTATTTGTCAAGTTTCACATCTTTGAATGTGTGGAAGTGAAATTAACCTTTTAAACATTTCAGATGAGATGAATTCTCCGCACTTAAAGGACAAACTTTCCATAATGAGACCGCGATTTGCCCCTCTTCTCTTCCAGAGAAAACCTTTTTCTGCTGACATTATCTTTCTCTTTTATGTTTAATCATCTGTATAGTGCCTAATGTAGATCTACCCGTAACTGACCTGTTTACTACACTTTATGGTCTAATCAGACAAATTAGGGGTTCGTAAAAAATTGATATCCCGGAACTACTTCTGCATTTTTCATTAACTAAGTCAAACCAAGTGCCTAATTTTCTGCTCAGGTGACATTGCGTACGTGCTGCTTCTATCATATGACCGAGGGTCCATAAAGTAGTCCTGGATGTCTCAGATATGGCCTCTTCAGTGGTATTCAGCAGGTAAAATAAATAAGGTTTTGGATATTGCTCGGGGGAAAAAAAGTTGTATTTTATGTTGATTGATTTCTGTTATCGACCAATCATGACAGCTCTACAAATGATTTGTTTTAAATACTTTTTATTTGATAGTTTTGAAGAAAAATGACATAAACTGTCAGAATGAGCACAGATCTACATATAAGGGCATCATCTACACAGGCATGGATAAATATTTCTGTTAGCTCATTCTATGACAGAAAAGAAGAGTGAGCAAAAAGGAAGGAAAAAATAAAAATAAAAATAAGCTCTACAAATTAACCGTGGTGCCTTCAGGGTCCTTCAAATGGTCTGGAGTCAAGGGTCACTTACTTTGCTTTGTTTGTGTAAATATAGCTAACGATTATCTACTATCTTTTTGTGAAGTTGTTATAATATTGCTTATTTTAACGACGATGAAGAACGTTTGTCTGATAGTGGCTTATTGAATGATTGAATGAAAGCTTTATTGCCCCTATAGGGGAATTTGCCTTGCACAGAGAGCTAAAAAACACAATACAAACAAACATTTACGGGACAGCACATAAGAACACATAAAAACACACTAAAGCATCACATGATTCAATGAGGGATTTCAGCAAGTTAAATAAAGTGCAGAGTGCAGAGTTCGTCCTGTATACTCAGCTCTTATTAAGCAGCTGAATACTGCGCGGTACAAAGGATGTAATGCCTCTTTTAGTCCTCATCCTGGGCATTCTGTACCTGCGCCCTGAATTCAAGAGTTCATACTCTGACCAAAGGGGGTGCAGAGGTAGCCTAATATTCATATAGCCTAGACAAATATCCGTTTTTCGACATCGTACCCTTTCAACCATGACTGGAATATAAATGTCAAAAATGAACTGTAGAAAGGTCGTGGTGCATAATTAAAAAAAGAGGATCTCGTAAACCTGCGGATAACCAAACCAGTCAGGGGGTCAGAAGTGTAGGAGTAGTGATCCAACCTTCACAACAGGGTCCTAATACGCTGACTAGACTCTTCTCCTCTGTCGCCCCCCGGTGGTGGAATGAACTTCCAAACTCCTCTGCACCTTTAAGAAAAAGCTAAAGACCCAGCTCTTTCATGAATACCTACCAACTTAATGATGATGGTCTCCATATTATTATTGATGATGATGATGGTTGTGACGATGGTTTTTGTTTGATAACGACGACTTATCAGATGGTTTCTATAAGATTAGAGCTCTCGCGACTGGTCTTCAACCTTCCTAAAAGAGCACGTGTCACTCCGCTGTTCATCTCCTTACACCGGCTCCCAGTTACTGCTCGCATCAAATTTAAAACCTCTGCTGCTCGCTTACAAAACAGCGACAAAAACCGCTACGCTCTGCCAATGAAAGGCCTCTGATCCAACCTTCACAACAGGGTCACAAGACGCTGACTCTTCTCCTCTGTCGCCCCCCGGTGGTGGAATGATTCCCTCTGCACCTTTAAGAAAAAGCTAAAGACCCAGCTCTTTCATGAATACCTACTAACTTAATGATGATGGTCTCCTTATTATTATTAATGATGATGGTTGTGACGATTGTTTTTGTTTGATAACGACGACTTATCAGATGGTTTCTATACTGATTAGAGCTTTCGTGAGCACGTGTCACTCCGCTGTTCATCTCCTTACACTGGCTCCCAGTTACTGCTCGCATCAAATTTAAAAACTCTGCTGCCCGCTTACAAAACAGCGACAAAAACGTCTCCTCCTCACTTTAACTCTCTCATCCAGGTCTACACTCCCTCCCGCACACTACGCTCTGCCAATGAAAGGCGTCTGATCCAACCTTCACAACAGGGTCACAAGACGCTGACTCTTCTCCTCTGTCGCCCCCCGGTGGTGGAATGATTCCCTCTGCACCTTTAAGAAAAAGCTAAAGACCCAGCTCTTTCATGAATACCTACTAACTTAATGATGATGGTCTCCTTATTATTATTGATGATGATGATGATGGTAATAACGATGGTTTTTGTTTGATAACGATGACTTATATGATAATAATAATAATAATAATGCATTTTATTTATAAGCGCTTTTAAAAACTCAAAGACACTTTACAACGGTTAAAACATGAAGAATAGCACAGAAGGACAGACTAACGGAAATTGCAGCATTACACACAAATCATAAAGATAACAACAATAAAGATAACAACATAATAAAGGTGGTTTCTATACTGATTAGAGCTCTCAAGAACTGCCCTCAATATTGTGTTTTGCCTCTGGTCACTTCCTGTCAGCACCTGTGTTTCCAATCAGACTCAAAGCTGATCGTTTTCTCTTACTGACATTGTTCCCTTTTTCCTAGATCCTTTGCTTGTGTTGCACTTACTCTCTGATGTACATCGCTTTGGATAAAAGCGTCTGCTAATACAAGTGAATTGTAGAATTGGAGCTTTACTCTCTGCTCTTGAACGCAACCCCGGTTTACCCCGGAAGTGTTTTTGCAATCCGTGTTATTGTTGTGAATGAAGCGAGCATGGACTCCTGTGTGCAAAACAAAAACACGAGAATAGGTTAGTGCAAACTTCACATTCACATTCAAGTATTTCGCTTTGCTTTGAAAAAAAAGTTACACACGCTGTTATTTAGTAATTTGTTTGAGGGGTGTGTAGAAACTTTAATTAAATGTAGGCACCATGTAGCCACAGCGTGCTAACGTTAGCTCCGTAAACAAGCGGTAAACATCAAACCCAGCGGGGGGGGCACATGACAACACTGAGATGCTCCAAAAACAAACAAACTATCAACACAAGTTGTCGTTTCTCCGTAGGTTAAGTTCACTGTCTCCATGATGAACTTTGACGGTCTCGACGCCGGGATGGGTGAGTACCCAGCCGGCCTCCACGGGACTCTGGACGCGGGGATGGAGCCCTCCATGGACCCGCATCTGAACCCCAACTTACTGCAGGGCGTGGAGCTCGATCCGGAGGGGCTGGCCGGGACGGGCCCCGAGTCTGTGCACCTCATGGAGGGGATGTTTTCTGAGCTGCACAGCGCAGTTTCTGAAGTTGGCATCCCGGTCACTGCCACACATTTTGACCTCCAGGAGGAAATGCTCTGGATGGGTAACCACAGAGTAAGAACCGGATTATAGTTCATTTCATATTTCATTTGTTTGCTCAATTCAGTGTTTGGTTTCCACACCATAATACACAACAAAAACACATTTTCTCATAATGCTGAAACACTGTTCATGAGCAAACAGGAGCAGGAAGAAGATATAACACCTGCCCCCCCTTTTCTTAATAACACAAGATACTGTTTAACAGAATAAGGATAAGATAAAACTTTATTGATCCCCAGAGGGGGAAATTCAGGTGTTACAGCAGCACAGACAAGAAAGCTGAAAAATACACATTAAACAGAATAGATAAGATAAATAAAAATAAAAACAGGGGGTATATACAGTACAAAAAGAATGCTGGAGTTAACTGGGGGGGAGTTGAGACAGTATTTGCAGAGAATGAACAAGATAAAGTGACAAGTGATTAAAGTGACTTGGTATGATAATGATAGGTATGATAAGATGGCTAACCTGTTGTTTTCTCTTTCCTTCTTTCACAAAACAAAAAATAGATCAACACTATAGAAACAATCAAATCCAATCAGTTAGATTAACTCAATGCATTCATAATTTCTTTATACATTCTCTTTTAAATTGAACGATACTCGAGCAGCGTTTCAAATGATCATCGAGAGAATTCCATAATTTAACTCCATTTACTGAGATACACATTTGTTTTTCATGCAGTGCGTGCAAAATGGACTTTTAAATATTAAATCTCTGTCTATGATCCTCCTCATTAGATGTAAACACAAACAGCTTCTGTGCATTTTCGGGTAATGATCTATTCCTTGGCTTTAAACGTGACTAATAATGTTTTCAAGTGAACTAGATCCTGAGCTTCTAAACAGTCTCTCTGATGTTCACTTTGTTTATAAGTCTGATCGCTCTTTACTGTAAAACAAACAAAGGTTTAGTGTTGGTCACATACCTCATTGCAATAAGTGAAATATGGAAGAATAAGCGAACAGTCCAACATATGGAGAGAAGCAGAATCCAAACTGTCCTTTGCTCTGTACAAAACACCGATACATTTACACATTTTCTCTTTACATATTCTATGTGATGAACACAGCATATATATATTTTT